TTTTCTATTATCATTGGCACTGTGGTTGTGTTTTTTGTTTGATTTTTAATATATTTCTATACCTGCTTGGTTTTTATGCTTTATTGCTATTGATTTCTTCCTTCTGAGCAGTGCTGGGATTAAGCCCAGCACCTTGAGGACACTGGGGGGTTGCTCTGCAGCTGAGGTATACCGCCAGCCCAGTTGAGAGAAGTTGCACCTTTCTCCAGCCATGACCCTGCTTCCCACAAAACTTGAAGAATAGGCAAGATAAAATCCCCCAGCTGATAATCCACCCATAAGCAGGCCCAGCTAGGAGAGCCTTAAGTCCTGCTCCTGGACATCCACCCCGACAGGAACAGCAGGGAGAAATAGCAACTGTTGTGTACCTATGGGAGATCTTAGAACAGGCTGCTCCGATACCCTTTTAGAACCACATATTGCTGATAAGACTGGAGGAGTAACCACAGAGGATGCACCACACATATTTTGCTGTCTATAGCACACCTACCTGAATTATCAGAGGGAACCCACTCCTGTGAGACAGCACATCCCTCAGGCTTTGACCCAGCCTACACAGTGTCAAAACTACTAATTACAGCTCAAGTAGCCACCAAAACACTACACTACAAAGTCCATCAGGAATTAAATTTAACACTACATAAGAAACTGATATCCTAGGGCACATCGTCAAAAGAAGGCTGCTTACTAGGAACCCTCACATAAAAGTGGAAGAAAGACTATCAGGACTTGAAAACAAGGTTGATAAATTATCACATTCAGATAGCAGTGAGCAAACAAACAAACAAACAATGAACAGAACTTAAAGATCTATGGTATACCATTAACAGACCACACACACACACACACACACACACACACACACACACACACACACACACAGAATACGCAAGGGAGAAGAACTACAGATTAAAAGCACAGAAAACCTATTCAGTGAAATGATGCCAGGAAATTCCCCAAATCTTGGGAAAGAAATAGCCATCCACGTACAGAAGGCATTTAGAACYCTAAATAGACATGACAAGAAAAGAACATCTCCAGGATATATTATAGTTAAACTGCCAAAATTACAGAAAGAAAGAAAGAATATAAAGAGTTATAAGAGAAAAGCACCATGTCGCATGAGGAAAAACCAACAGACTTTTAAAAGTAGAAACTCTGAAGGCCAAAAGAGCAGGATGATGTTTCAAGTCCTGAAATAAAATAACTACCAACCTAGATTATTATATTCAGAAAAGTCCATCCTTCAGAAATAATAGCATTCTGAGATAAGTATAATCTCAAGAAATTCATGACCACTAGCTCAGCATTACACAAGATACTCAAAAGAATCCTAYACTCAGAAGAGGATTAAGAAGATATGATGATAAATAAATGCTCTGAACCTCAGAGCACTCAATTTTATAAAATGAACACTATTACACACAAAGGGAAAAATAGAACCCAAAATGATAACAGTGGATGATTTTAATACCCCACTCTCAGGAATAACAACAGCATCCAGACAAAATAATCAACAAAGAAACATCAGAGTTAAATTATACTGTAGGTCAAATATACTTAGTAGACATCTATACAATATTCTATTCTATTCATATTCTTTTCATCAACATAAAACTTTTTCTAAAACATATCTTAGCAAGTCTTAAGAAATAAAAAAGTTTCTTGCATCTTATCAGATCATAATGGAATGAAAGCAGAAATCAACAGTAAGAAAAACTATAGAGATTATAAAAACACATGGAAAGTGAACAATATACTTTTGAACCATAATTCATTATTGCAGAAATCAAGTTGGGGGGTTGGATTTTAAAAAGTCTTAGAATCAAATGAAAATAGAAAAACCCATACCAGAATCTGTGGGAAATAGTGAAATCAGTACTTAGGGAATTTTATAGCTAGGCACCTATATTAAAAGAGTTGAAAGCTCTCAAATAAATAACTTTTAATTATGCAGCTCAAGGTCTTAGAAAAACAAAAACAAATCAAATCTAAAATCAGTAGAAGGAAAGAAATTATAATAATTCCCCTTTGGAACAGATCTTTCATATCAGGTATGGATCCAACTTCACTATTTCTTCCCATAAACATTTATAAGACAGGGTTTCCACAGTTCTGCAAAGCTACCTGTGTAAAAAGTCAACTTTTCATAGACGGATGGGTCTTTTTCTGTTTCACACTCTATCTCTGTGCAAATATACTATTTTAAGTCCTGATATGTGGTAAAGTAAGTTCCTTTATTTTTGGTTTTTCTTTAGAAATGTTTTAAWTTTTGGTCTTTGTTCTTGCATATAAATTTTTTAATGAGTCTGTCAAACACTATATAGAAATCTTGTTGGGTTTCTGATGTAAACTGCCTTGAAATCTACGTATCAGTTCAGGGAAAATTAACATCTCATGACACTGAATCTATCCATGAATATGGAATAATGTCCCATTTACTTTAGTTCACTTTAATGTCTCTCAATAAAATTCTAAATTTTCCTTCATAAAGATTGTGTATACCCGGGCATGGTGGCAAACGCCTGTAATCCCAGTGGCTCGGGAGGCGAGGTCAGAGGATTACAGGTTCGAAGCCAGCCGTAGCAACTTAGTGAGGTTGTAAGCAACCTACTGCGACTCTGTCTCTAAATGAAAAATAAAAAGGGCCGGGGATGTGGCTCAGTGGTTAAGCAATCCTGGGTTCAATTCCTGGCACTAAAAAAAAGATCTTGCATACTTTTTGTAAAACTTATAAATAGGTAAAAAAAAAATACTTCATATTTTTGGCTTTTACGTGTATTTTTTAAATTTTTTTTTAAGGCATGATACTTAGAACTTCTTGATCTACAAAGGATAGAATGACTCAAATTATATGCAGGCCAACCTATTGGGAAACAAGATCAGATCTGGCCAAGAATTGTTTATCAGAGACAGTGCTTATACTTTGAAAACTTACTCTGCAGCTTAAAAAATTCCTGGTTCCTGTCACTAAGAAACAAAGTAAAAAATATTAGACGCATCCATATTAATATGTGACTTTATGGAGGTCTTCCACCAGAATGTGAACGTAGAGTTAAGTGTAGGGGATAAGATCTTTTGATATTTAAAAAATAAATTATTTAGAAACTAAGAAATTAGACATACCATACTCTTTCATGTGCTACAATAACAATTTGACAATGAAGACTATTCAAAAGAAATGTTCATTTTAAAGAGGGAATGGTAACGCTTTCCAGTACAGAATAACCTCCTGCTTTCCCAGACAATTAGCACTRCTATTCTTCCATGATACATATTCATGTGGAAAAACTTGTTGAGTTTTGCCAGGGCCGCATGAAAAACAGAGCATTTCCTAATTTAATCAGCTAATTCAGCTCAGTGAACATTTTTGGAATGGATCCATAAACTCTGGCCATTGTTTTGTCAAAGATCTGAAAACTGCATGATTCCTCAGCCCTTAGCATAGTTTCTGTTCAATATCTTAAAGCTGGGCTCAGTCCCACTGTGACTTGTCTCAGGGCTGAAGTGAGTGTTAGTCATCAAAGTCTGGAATGTCATCATAGGAGTAACCCTGACAGCTTTAAATGCATAGTCAGCAATGTGYGGGCAGAACACCAGAATGCCAATGAGCAGAACAGGAAGGGCCTGGTCTGCACTACCCTTTACTGATATAGCCTACAGCAGGAGGGAGCCTACGATAATGAGAAAGGTACCAATCAAAAACAGCACAGTGGCAAGAGCAGTGGTCTTATAAGGAAWCTTAGGAGGGCTTTTCTTAAACTGAAGATCAATGTAGCCTTCGACTGTGCTAGAGARCCTTGAATATTTTACTTTACTACTGGGGATTCCAACAGCCAGATTAGTACCAGACAGCATTATAATACCCTGACAGCTACAGTCGGAGCACAGCGCCAAGACTGGAGCTAGTAGGAAACTCACCCATGGCTAACAGACTACACATCCCAGGCCTCATGGCACAGTCAACCTAACCGCCTCCCCAGTAAACACTGACTGGCCGCTAGAAGTGTGTATCTTTTTTTAAAAAAAATCAGATTTTTCTAACCAATTTTTTGCTGGTGTACAGACATATAACTGAGTTTTTGTTTTATGGATTTTATAACCAGCAACCTTGCTACACTCATTTATTAATTCCAGTAACACCTAAGTGCTGGATTTTTCTATGTGCATAGCTGTTACCAATTGTAAATAATGAGAATTTAACTTCTTCCCACTATCTATGATTTTTAATTCTTTTTCTAGCTACAATGAACTGTCTAAAATCTACACACAATGCTTAATAAAGGTGAAAATAAGCATCTTTGTCTTATTTCCAAATTCAAATTCTATATCTCATTAGTAAGTATGATATCTGGTGTAAGTTTAGTTTTTTGTTTTTATCAATACCCTTTAATAGGTAAAGAAAGTTCCTTTTTATGGCTGGATTAATTAAAGGTTTGTGCATTTTATCACAAATGCTTTAAAAATGTTATTAAATAACTTTTCTGACCTGGTCATGTATTTTTTTCTCCTTTAATCTATTTATGATAATTTACCACATTATTATTTTTTAATGTATGCTCAACCCCACTTGGTCATGAAATATTAGATTTACTATATGATTGGAGCTGGTGTACTAATATTTATTTAAGATAGAGGAGGTTGGCCTTCTCCTTTTTGATACAGTCCTTTTATAAATTTAATATCAAAGTTACATGCTAACCTCATAAAATGAATTGAGAAATGCCTCTTTTTCTATCCTACAGAAAAGTAAATAATGATACGCGTGAGGTTCCCCCTTGAATGTCCAGAATACTACTGAAGATAGAGGAGGTCTTCAAATATTCAAATTTGTGTTAGCAAAAAGTTATTCACCATATTTTCTTATCTAAGTTTTACAGCATTTACAGTTCTATTGTCTTCTTTATCTTTAATTAGTCATGTTTTAACAAGAAATGAAATAAATCTTTCAAATAGGTTAAGCTTTAGTTTTTAGTCTGAACAGAGTTAGTATTCATTACCTTTATGATCTGTTCTCTGGTCCTCTGGTTCTTTCTTAGGAGTTTTCGGCTTTGTTAATTCTTTGTCCCAGGCAGCCAAAGCCTGCTTTTCCATTTGACGAATTTCCGCTTCTTCTGCATCTAACCGTCTCTTCCACTCCAGGAGCTCCTCTGCATGTTGCCGTCGCTGCATTAGTTTTTGCTCTCGCTTTGTCAAAAACCTATGATCACATCATGAAGCAGTGAGAAATAAAGCTATAAAGAATAAATAATTTTGAAAGCTCTACTTTTCATTACCTTATCAACAAGCTGTGCAAAATAATAGATGAGTCGACTTATTCAGAAAATGAGACAATTTATTTTTTTACTTATATTTGTAAGACTAGTAAAGAAAAGATAGTGGTAAATTCAGAAAAAGTATCTTTGAGATATATTAAATATTATCAGTCATGATTATTCATATATTTCTTTTAATAGGTGGTTCTGTTTCATAACAGAAAATGTAAGGAATTTATTCTGAAGGCTCATACCAGAAAACACAAAAATCCCAAAACAATAAAGACCCAAAACAACAAAACCCCTCAAAACCCCCCCAAACAAGCACGCAAACAAAAAACACATTTATGTCCTCTTTTGACTTAAATTTTCAAATTCTATCTGGCTTTGCTTCACGTCTAGTGAGTTTGGCTCCCATTATCTAAGAGATACAAGGTCAGGTGATAAATCATTTTTTATGTAGAGAACACTGAGCATCAGTCAGATCTTATGCATATAATCATTAACTGAATAAAAGGATGCATCAAATGTCTCAAATTTTCAATTTAACATAATCTCTGATYTTCTATAGGTCAGAAGGATTAGGAGAGATTACTAATTTAGGGAAAAATATTTGATTAGTTTAAAGCTATTAATAAAATCTCTTCAAATGCAGATGCCATGGCTAAATGAAAGGTATACTGTCCATATTATTGGTGTCAGATATACAGCGGTWGCTAGCCAACAAAAATGCATTTACACATCCAAACATTTGGTCAAAAGCACAAGAACTGTCACTTTTGGAACAATCATGTCAAATTAATGTGGAAACACAAAGTAAAATCTATATGACATTTGACAAGAGGTCTCCAGGCTGTTAAAAAGAAATAAAACAAAAAAAGCAAACAAAACAAAAAGAACAGAGCATGCTCTATCAAAGAGTGCACTAAAAAAGGTGCAGTTACCTGACCAACTGGTTGTAGATATACAGCTGGAATTTGGGATGAAGGTTGGGAAAACAGACACTGAGAGAGGCCCAGTGATGAGACGTAAAGACAGAGAAGAAGTAGTGAACAGGAGAGCAGTGTCTACAAAATAAGGAGGAAGATTTTTAAAACCAAGAGATCAAGAGGTAGGAAGAATGAGAAAGGGAAAGCATAAGAGCCAAGTGAAGAATTTTCAATATGCTTCCTAAATAACATTATAAGCTACTTGGTAAAGCAAGTGTTATACTCTGTGTGACATAAAAAACATGTACTTTCACAGATCTTACCAATGGTTTCTGAATAAACATGCCTTTATTCTCAAATATGACTTAACCATCATGTGTCTTTTCAGTTTAATTTACTTGTTTGTGAGTGATGAGAAGTACAGTGTGGGGCTAATAAATTTTCAAATAAGGTTTGAACCATGAACCTAGTATATCAGCAATTCTACTAAAATAGGTAACCCTAAGCAACTGATTTTATATCTGTACCTTGTCATATATTTTAAGCTTGAAATTAAATCAAAAGCACATTTGCCTTACTTAACTGTACCATCACGATCCAGCCTAAAAACATTTAAACCTATTTGTAGAAGAAAACCTTGTTAACCTCTAAACATAAAACTGCTAACAAGATCTCCTTGCTTTAAATTTAACAAAGGCCCATTTAAATAATAACGTTAAAATACAATGCCCATTCTATAAAATATCAGGATGTAAAATTTAAAAAATTGAGCTAGTCTCAATAAATACTATCAGTTAAAAAAATGCTATGAGCTGGGTATGGTGGCGCATGCCTGTAATCCCAGTGGCTCCRGGAGGCTGAGACAGGAGGATGGTGAGTTCAAAGCCAGTCTCAGTAAAAGTGAGGCACTAAGCAACACAGTGAGACCCCGTCTCTAAATAAAATACAAAATTGGGCTGGGCGGGGTTGCGATTGTGGCTCAGCAGTAGCCAAGCTCGCCTAGCACGTGTGAGGCGCTGGGTTCGATTCTTAGCACCACATAAAAGTTAATAAATAAAATAAAGGTATTGCATCCAACTACAACTAAAAAAAATATTTAAAAAATAGGGCTGAGAATGTGGCTCAGTGGCCAATTCCCCCGAATTCAATCCCCAGTACCCTCCCCAAAAAATTAAAATAAAAATGCTATGGACAGCTCAATCATAAAGTTAAAGGTAAGAAGAAAATTCTATACCCTAAAGTTACAAAAGTAGAAAAAATAAAACCTTTTGTCATAGTAAGTAGATCACTATACACATACACAAAAGGATAAATAAATCTAAAAGTTTGAAAGGTTAATTCTCTTTGACAGAGCATGCTCCTGTTCACATGCACACAACAATAATTTGTAGATCAAGGCAACATTTATTGCCTTGGAAGGGCAAGGAGTAATATCAGTATGTCACGGAAGTGAGAAAATCTAGGTATAAATCCAGTCACATTTAGATTTTAAGAAATATATATATATATATATATATAATCTTGCCTATGCATATCTTTAGATAACAGACTATTTTAATGTCTATTTCCCCACATATAGTATTTTACTTTCCCCTTCATTTATTTACACACGCAGGCACACATGCATGCACGCCCAACTGGATTGCCTTGATTTTCTGCACTGAAGTTCAATGAAAAACATTCTGCAAATTTCAGTGAGACAATGCAACTTTCCTTGCCATTCTTTATTGATATACAATATACTTATTTTGATGTTCATTATCAAAATATTATGCAAAATCAAATGTTCTTAGCAAAATGTTCCAAAAAATTTACTCGTAACATTCAAATGTGACACCCACCCTCTTAAGTGTGTAACTGCTAAATGCATGCATGACCTAGTACAAAAAGTAAAATAATATTTTACACATGAAATAAAGTGTAAAAATATACAAGTTGAAATTTTTTCGCCCCCAATTATTCTTCCTACTAAAATAAGAACTGACATTTACTTTTCAATTATAAAGATTAAATACATTCAAGAGCTCTTGTTTAGAAATGAGGAACAAAAGAAATGACTAATAGAAAATGAAAATAAAACGGTTTAGGAAACAGTGTAAGAAAAGTTTTAACCTAATTATAAAGTTAGAACTTCTTCTCCCAAACATTTCTTTGTTTGCAATAAAAACATTCTCAAAACTAAAACTTTAAAAGCTGAATAAAGGTGAGACAAAAAAGCAGTACTTTACCCTAAAGTTAACAATCACTCAATACAAAGAACAGGTAAGAAATAAACAAAATTTATGAATTATGGATATATAAATGTCTTCTAACATAATATTCTTTATGGTTTCTATCAAGGCAACCCCCAATAAGACCTCTGATGGTAACAGAACACTGGATTAAAATTAGATATACAATAAATGTAATCTAGTACAGAAATAATTATGTTCTTATAATGTTTGAATTTAAAGAATTAATTACTAAAGAACTTGATTGACTAAGTCACACCAACACATAGACTTGTTCATGCTGCTATTCAACTATAGTAATAAGCCATCTAGCACTTTTCCAGTTTCAACAAATACTGTTCAGAAGGGTAAGTTTCTACTGAAGATATGTAGTTATCATTATTTAAAAAAAAATGTAAGTCTAAAAGCAGATATGTTAAACTTTAACTAGCTGAAGTCCAGAGAGCAGGGTTCTAGTTCTAACTCTGCCATTCTGCTGTGTGTGAACTCAGGCAAGTCACTTAATCTTTGTGGGCCTTAAATTCACTGTGTCAAACAAAGACAAGTTCCCTGAGACCTCTTCTAGTTCTACCATTTTATGATTCTTTCTACATTCAAAAACCTCCCACTTTTTAAAAATAACATGCTACAACATCATATGACATGACAAATTTTCTCTCACTCAGCTAATACAACTATGAACAGTGTTCCAGCTATAATTTGAAAGAAAAAAAGATTATATAAATTTTAAATGATAATTGTAGGTCTAAAATCCTTCAAATCTGAAAGACAGTAAATAAAATAAATGAAAATTTAATACCTTAAATTGTTTTAAAATTCCTTCTGTAATTCTTTAATTCTATATTATTATAAATAAAAATAGAACATAGTGCTTTGAATCTTAAAATAAATTTTTCTGAATTTTTAAGCATATATATATATATATATATATATATATATATATATATATATAATTTTGTGTGTGTGTGTGTGTGTGTGTGTATTTTTTTGGTACAAGGGATTGAACTCAGGGCACTCGACCACTGAGCTACATTCCCAGCCCTATTTTGTATTTTTTATTTAGAGACAGGGTCTCACCAAGTTGCTTAGTGCCTTGCTTTTRCTGAGGCTGGCTTTGAACTTGCGATTCCCCTGACTCAGCCTCCCAAGGTGTTGGGATTACAGGCGTGTGCCACCGCATCTGGCTTTTAAGCATCTTTCATAATACTTGAATGAGAAGATAAATTAGGGCAAGGATAGTACTGATGTAAAAGAAAATGCAGGGCTAGGTTTGTGGCTCTGTGGTGGAGTGCTTGCCTCACATGTGGAGGGTACTGGGTTCGATCTTCAGCAACACATAAAAATAAAATAAAGGTATTGTGTCCACCTACAACTAAAAAGAATATAAAAAAAATAGTGCMGCTTAGCTTTTTCTATAGTAAAACCTATTTATTACTTAAAATTGTATAATAATTTGCATACAGTTAAATAAACAAAATAATACAGTACACTATTCTTGATCGAGGAACTGCAGAAATTAAAACACAACATTATACTACCAGAATTTATTCAGCTACTACACTTATAATAGAAACTTCTCTAAGACAATTATATTAATCTAAAGCAATGTTGTTTAATAAATTATTTAAGATAATTCTTTTTTTAACTATTTATTTTATAGTTGTAGTTGGACACAAAACCTTTATTTCACTCATTTAATTTTTTTATGTGGTGCCAAGGATCGAACCCAGGGTCCCGTGCGTGAGAGACAAGTGCTCTACCGCTGAGCCACAACTCCAGCCCCTAAGATAATTCTTAACAAGGTATTTTCTTTAATAGACTATCCAAGACTCTACTTTGAAAATCCTTAAGTTTTAAAGTTCAGCAGATTAATGGTAAAGATTTCAAAACTGAATAGACAAACCATAAATATTTTTATTTATTTATTTTTTTGAGACACGATCTCACTAGGTTGCTAAGGCTGGCCTTAAACTTGTAATCCTCCTGTCTCCGCTGTCCAACTAGCTGGGATTGTAGTCATATGCCAGTGTACTCAGTTTATAAATACTTTAAGACAGAATAATATCATAAAATATTTCTCTGCTTAACTTTCTGGTTAATTATTTAAATTAAATAATTTGTCCATTTAGTGTTTTTTCTTTTCCTTTTTTTGGTACCAATGATTGAACCCAGGAGCACCTAAACACTTGAGCCACATCCCCAGCCCTTTTTACTTTTTATTTTTGAGACAGAGTCTTGCCAAGTTGCTTAGGGCCTCATTAAATTGCTGAGGTTGGCTCTAAACTCGTGATCTTCCTGTCTCAGCCTCCTGAGCTGCTAGGGTTATAGACATGTGCCACTATATCTGATGCATTTCATCATTTTTCTAAGCAAATTGGGAAGTATAGATGAAATGGTTAAGATGTTTTGACACTACCAGYTATTTTTTTCATGCTACCTTGGTCTGTAATGAAAGGTAAAACCAAAAAATGCTTATACTTTTWATATTAGAAAGTACTTCCTAATTAAAAACATATTTAAGTCTGAACATATTCATGAAACTTTCCTTAATATGCTTCTTCTGTCAGTGAAAATTTCTCTTTCCTTTCTTAACTTCCTTAGCAATAGATCTCCATATACTTTTCTAAATGATCCTTCCATGCATTCTATTTTCCAAGTAAGACTGTAAGCTTTTTGAAGGCAGGGTTTGTATCTTGGTAACCCTCAGAACTTAGCATATTCACAAATTACTCAATAAATAATTGCTGAGGGAACAACCACATAATTAACTTGTTACACTGAAGAACAAGCAAGCTACTGTTAATAAATGAAAGAAAAAAATGTGTGGTGTCTTATTTTAACTAATGCAGCACTTCAGAGCTTCATATGCTCAGTAAACCATTTTCCTGAAAAGGAACTGGCAAAATAACAGAAGTCACCCATATGTTGCTTTGTTTTTCGACAATAACTGTTTCATAATTAYAGGTAACCCAGTGTTATTATAAATAATGTCTGTCACAGTAATTAACAAAACTCAAATTCACTTACAAATAAGACAAAAGGGAAGGTTGTTCATTCAGTGGCTTAGGTTTACAGTGTGTCTTTTACAAACCTGTTTTCATTATTACTAATGTCTTTCACATTTTGAATTTCTTTTTGCTTTTCACTATATTGAAAAATGGAAATTACTTATAAATGTCAATTCAATAACTACGTCAAGAAAAGTCATATGTTAGAAATATAAAGTTTACTGAAGGCATTATTGTAACAGTGAAACATTAAAGAACAAATCTTTTACCAAGGCCAAAAGTGATAATATTGTTTAAAAAATATATGTTATAAAAACTAGAGTTCAGAAGGCTAACAATAAGCAATGACATATAATAAAAAAGTTCTCCCAAAATGTTAAACTTCTTAGGAAGGATGACTACTCTTTGACAGGTACTTCATATCAATAAAACAGGTCTGACTGCCTTTGCAAATCTATGAAACAAATAATAGTACCTGGTTACAACAAAGCAAAGGTTCAAATAATTTTATTATTAGTCATCTACTATAGTAAGCTAACTCCAAAATCAAGTAACTCTTCACTTCTTGAGCTGACATTCCAACATCAGTTGGAGCTGAAGGAAATCTTAACTCTAAAATTTTCATAATATAAATGGCATTTAAATGCCAGTCTTCCCACTACTTTGTTCCAGGGATAGAAAACAATACTGTAATGCACTATGTTTTTAAACACATAACCAATTTCAGAAAATACTCTTGTTCATCCCTACCACAAACTCAACTGCATTGCTTCAGACATCAGATTAAGAAATCACGACTAGGTGTGGTGGTGTATGCCTGAAATCCCAGGAGGTGGAGGCAGGAGGATCAAAAATTCAAAGCCAGCCTCAGCAAAAMGCAAGGTGYTAAGCAACTCAGAAGACCCTGTCTCTAATAAAATACAAAATAGGGCTATGAAGGTGGCTCAGTGGTCGAGTGCCTCTGAGTTCAATCCCTGGTACCCAAAATAAAAAGTCACGGAATGTTTCAAGGATTATTCTCCTTGACAAAGTCTACTCTAGTAGTTGATAAGTCAAGAAATACAAAAATTATAGTGATTAATATTTGGATTCTGTGACAACACTTGGAGCAGTCAATAAATTTGTTATTTAGGGTTTTTAACAGATTTAACCAAATCTAAAATAAGCACCACAGAAACTGACCTCACAGACTAAGATTAGCAATTTCTTCTACAGGTGTGGTTAAAATTTTAGAATACCATTCATAGAGACTAGCAATGAAGGTTTTACTGAAATATAAAAGCAAGGGATCAGTGGGAAAAAAAATTACCCCTACTTTCCCGCAACATTTACCATTCAAAGAGACTTGGAGGCAGATATAAAATGTCAAATCAGTGATAAAAATTATTCTAATTTTGAATTCAAAGATCTATGAAGCAATGTCTCTATAGACTAGTGGAAAATTTTAATCAAAAAAGGAAGAATGCATTTTTCACCTAAATTTCAATAAATTCTTATTTAAAGAAACTTTACTTGACTTATCCCACAGAAATCATCTAAAAAGAAGTATTCACATGTATAATAATATTTAGTTTTTACACTGATAATTTTTTTTTTTTTTTTAACTAGGAATTGAACCCAGAGGTGCTTTAGCACTGAGCTACATCTCCAGTCCTTTTACTTTTTATTTTGCGAAAGGATCTCGATAAATTGTTTAGGGCCTCAAACATGGGATCCTCCTGCTCATTCAGTGGGATTAGAGGCATCTAGCACACATGAGGCACTGGGTTCAATCCTCAGCACTACATAAAAATGAAATAAAGATTATGTGTCCACCTACAACTAAAAAAAAAAAAAAAGAAATACCAACATATAATTGCACTTAGAGGAAATAAGGAATTTTACTCAATAATCACTTGACTATCCTAAAACTAATTAAACCAAAGGTAGGTGTCACATATAAATATAAAACATTATTAAATTTGGCCAAAGGATCTCAAGATAACAATTTAAGTTCTGTCTGAGTGGTTCAAATTGCTAACTTAAAATGGCAGTCAGTAAAAATTTCTAATGATTCTCTTTCCYGTATTCAGTGGGTTTCAAGGAAGCTAAATATGGGATAGTGATTATAGAGGCAAGTATACAGCCTACAAGAATCTAATTTGTAACCATATTTAATTTAATGAATACTAAAAGAGTAAACTATCACATAAATGTAATTTTATATAATCAAATCTTATATGAAACTGATATTTTTTAAAAAATAATTCTTTAAAATTCCAGTAGGATATTTTTTAAAAAATAATTCTTAGAAATATTTTGGAAGAATATTAGAGTGCAGAATCATTCCACACCCCAGAAAAATCTCAGAAACTGACAAGGTAAAAATTTTGTTCTACCATTAAATTAAGCTTGAGAATTGCCAAAGATCAAAAGGATGTCAATTCAATATACCATTAGTTGYTCCCCAAGTTGGTAGACATATGCAAAGAAAGGGTACATATTCAAATACTACTTTGGCTTTTTAATAAGGAAACTATTTACATCAAAATGAGAAAAACTGTTTCATAAATAAGATCTACAGTTAATTAACTTCTAGGTTGATCCAACATTTCTGCTAAAATGTTACTGAATCCATCAAACATTTTATCTTGATCTATGCAGCATATTAAAAAATGTCATTTGTTCTTACTACTTGCAGTGTAACTAAACAGGATATATTTATAAAAATGAATTACTTCTCATCCATGCGGCTTCTCATTTTCTTCAGTTTCTGCATGATACTGCTAGTTTCACTGCTGGAGATTGAGATGGGAGAAGGACTACGGGTCTCCAAATCAGTTGGTCCAGGACTAGTTGCCTTATTATTTTTTGTATCATTATCACTATGAGAGTCCTGTAAACAAAAAGAAGCAAACTTTTATTGGACTTCAAAAGGATCTTAAAAGATCTTAAATACTGTCAATTCAAAATTAAGTTTAAATTTAAAACAATGTTTCTAATAGTAATTAAAATTAAGACATAATTACCTAAAAAAAGACATAATTACTTAAGGGACAAAAAATATACTACACACTTAAAAATAATTAAAATGGAGCCTAGGGTTGTAGCTCAGTGGTAAATGGCTTACCTAGCACAAGTGAGGCACTGGGTGTAATCCTCAGCACCACATAAAAATAAATAAATAAAGGTATTGTGTCCATTTACAACTAAAAAAWTTTTTTTAAATAAGAAAATGATTAAAATGGGAAATTTTATGTTACGCATATTTTTATAGACTGACTATATCACTTGTAATTTTAAAAATTCACAGAACTCCAAAAAGAAATAAAAAACTTCTGCCAGTAATAATCTAGTTCCTAATTGTACTCTTGTTTTTAAAGTTAAACCACATAAAAGGAACATAAAACTTGACACTATAAATATATAAAACACATATGTACAGACACAAAGACTGAACAAAAGATGTAATAACTTACTCTAAACATACTAAGGGATGGATTTTTTTTTTTCCTGGAAGAATTCCTTATGGAAAACAGTATTTCACAAATTAAAAATGTTTGTAATGAAAACATTTAAAAACTATTGGTTTAATCAATACATTATTTCTGATAAATAAAAAGTGAAACTTTTTTCTTAGTATGTCTTAAATTTTAAGGCAGATGGGTGGGAATAATTATGGAATAATTATGACTATTTTTATTTGTGAAAAATGCAAACAAAGGACAGTACTTCTTTCCATTCTGCTTCCTGAACTACACAGTCTTAAAGTCATCAGATGGAGCAGAACAAGGCATGTAAGTGTTCATGTGAGGGTAGAGGGAGACAGGGGCCAAGAGTGGGTGTGATTATCTGAGTGAGATGAAGACAGTATCTCATGCACCAGGGCAGCCTGAATGGGGAATCAGAGTCTAAGCAGGGCAACAAGAATGTCTGTGTGGAAGTAGGTCAGCACATGATGTCATGAGTTCAAACACAGTAAGGATGGCTTCCCCACAGTGAACTCCCTGGCATAGGCGTCAGAGTCCAAAGAATGGAGGAACAAGGAGATAGGGAAGTCAAAGGGAATAGGGAAGGGAATAGGTAAGTCAAAGCCCAAACACAGAGAGAAGGACATTCACCAGTTATCTGTCAGATAAGAGAATTCTGAAATAGAAAACAAACAACAACAAAATAGTATGAAAGTTGTGGTGTGGAATTGGAAGTATACGTATAAACTCCTGATTTTATTTATACATGTTTATTACACACACACACACACACACACACACACACACACACACAGTATGTAGTTAAAACTAATATTTCTCAGAGATTTATTGCTTAGGAAGAGTAAAACCTAAAGAGCAATGAACAAATCATATTTTGGTTTCTAAATAATCTTCCTCAGAATATCAATTAATTTTAAGGGTGAGGCAGAAGTTCAAAATGATCCTGAAACATCTTGTTCCAGAAAGCATGTAAATACTCTGGGATGATGAGACATAGCAAATGGACAAAGAAATCTGTGTGGAGAAGCTTTTAATAGCCCAACTTGAGACAAAGTGAGCATCACATAAATAATAATAGTAACAGATTGAAAGCCCAGGTAAAATAGGAACTCATGAGTTAATTTTGATAAAGGTAAGAGAATAAATTTAAACTATGCACAAGACATTTGCATAGTTTCAAAAATATTTCTATGTGAAATACCTATTAATGCTGAAGGGAAAGAAACTTTGTAATTAAGTCTGGCAGATATCACTTTAATCAAGTGATCATCATCAATAATGGAATCAATCAAAATTATGTGCCACCTAAATGAATGCAAAAAGAATAACATTGCTTCTATGATACACCGGCCATAGATGCACAACCTGAATCTAGTCATGAGGTAACATCAGACATAGCTCAGTTAAGGAACATTCTACAAAATAACTGACATCATATAATCTTTTTTTTTAGTTGTAGGTGGGCACAATACTTGTTTTTTTTTTTTTTAAGAGAGAGAGAGAGAGAGAGAGAGAGAGAGAGAATTTTTAATATTTATTTTTTAGTTYTCGGCGGACACAACATCTTTGTTGGTATGTGGTGCTGAGGATCGAACCCGGGCCGCACACATGCCAGGCGAGCGCGTTACCGCTTGAGCCACATCCCCAGCCCCAACACAATACTTGTTTTGTTTATTTATTTATGTAGTGCTAAGGATCAAACCCAATGCTTCCTCGCATGTGCCCAGTAAGTGCTCTATCGCTGAGCTGCAGCCCCAGCCCCCTGTCATATAGTCTTCTAATGTATCAAGGTCATGAGACTCAAGGAACAATTCCAAATTGAAGGAGACTAAAGAGACATGAAAACTAAATGCAATATGTGATTCTAAAGTTACTTTTTCTATAAAGAATATCATTTGACAAGTGAAGAAATTTAAAAGGGCTGTAGATAAAATGGTAGCAACGTATCAATATTAATCTGTTAGCAACTTATTGTCAAATGACTTAGAAAATTAGAAATCTTTGTACTGTTTCAAATTTTCCTGAAATTTGGCACTATTCAAAATTTAAAGTGTATTTTAGAAATCAAAGTGGAGATATTAGATTTTTAAAAGTTATACTTCTATATAATTTAGGGTTTTTCAGCACAGTATACTGACACTTTATTTATTGATTTTTTTTATTAAATGTTTTTTTTATTTTATTCATTTATATGTGGTGCTGAGAATTGAACCCAGTGCTTCACACATGCTAGGCAAGCACTCTACCACTAAGCCACAACCACAGCCTATACTGACACTTTATAATACCTTAGAAAAGATCCAAATTTTGTTCTTGTCTAAATATCTCCTTTGAATCTTACATCATTATAATATTAAAGCCAGATAGCTAACATAAATAGCAAAAAAAGAACAAAATGGTCTCTTATTAATTCTGAGGAATGTATTTGGATTGATGAGCAAATCTAGAGCTTTCTGTCCCAAATTTGTTCATAAATGGAAAACTGCCACGTCCAGTGCAGCCAAACTCTAAGTTTCTGTGAGGGGCAATGGGGGGGGGGTAAGAAAATAAAGACTAACACAGTTTGTGAAGATAAAATAGCTGGGATCAGGCAGAGTGCTGCTCTCTGATGGAGAAGCAGATCTAAAGAGTTAACACCAGCTTTATTTATATACATCTTATTATCGGGTTAAAGACTACGTAAGCATTATTTTTTTGTACTCAGAAAGTTACAAAACTATAAACATCTATGCAGCTTTTCCACAGTTGTAATCCATAGTTGCTGTGTGCAGTGTTAAGTGGGCAGGCTCAGGAGTAGCAGAGCTGGTGAAACACTGTGGTTGTCTAGCATTCCTTTATCCCTGGAAGCTATGTGCCTGTGATCAAGATCAAAGCTGATAAGACTCTACCACAGAGCCTCCTCATACAGGGCATTAAAATGGCACCTAGGCATCCTATGTCCTTGCACAGAAACATTTCCAGGCATCAAACAAGCCACAGCCACAAGGTCATCAAAGACCCCCAATCTCAGTCACTGTTCTCCACAGAAAACATTTTAATCTAATATCAGAACCATGTGGCCCTTTCAAAACATGAATATTTCATGGGGTGGGAGGAGATTCTCATTAAACATAAAGACACATACATAGAACTTTATCCTAGTTTGTTATTATATTACACTATTTCAACATGAGGTGGAGTAAGCCACTGGCAAGCAACATGGGAAAGATCACAAACTAACTAATAATAATTTCAAGTAACTTACCAATTTACTCTCCCCTGCAGACTTCAACTTCTCCTGCAATTTTATGGTGGTCTGTCGGATCCTTTCTATCTCCTCCTGCTGCTTAAGGATCAGCTGCCTTTCCTTTCGAGCTGCCTTGTTGGCTTCTTGAAGACGTTTAATTTCTGCCTAAAAGTTTAAAGAGTTAGGAGAGGAATTGAGATTTGAAGGAGACAAATCCAAAGTAATATTTTAAAAAGAAAAATCCAATCATATATATTACAATAAACATATATAGAATTTCTAGGTAAACATAATAACACTGAAAAACTTCAAAGTAGTGAGTCTCACAGAAACTCATTGCTAAATAATTTAACGTGATTCCTTAATTTAAATGATTATTAATTAAAACACAATGATAATTTCATAGTCCTTCTTAAACTTAACATACCTTTCACACTTCTCCATAAAAGTACATGGCCTTTACATCTACCTGTGTTTAACAAATGCATATCGACTAAACTAAGTAATGTAAACATTATTCCTTTTTTAATATTTATTTTTTTGTAGTTGTTTATACACAATAACTTTATTTTATTTATTTTTATGTGGTACTGAGGACCAAACCYAGGGCCTTGCACGTGCAAGGCGAGCACTCTACCGCTAAGYCACAACTCCAGCCCCATAATGTAACCATTATTATCCACAACTCTAGCCCCATAATGCAACCATTATTCTAATGCTACACGCTTAGACCCTTACAATTTTTCACTATTCAAAATAATGCTTTAATAATACAACTGTTTCATACTAAGGAATAGTTCTTTAGAAGAGAGTCATAGAAATAGGATAAACAAATCAAAGATGATGAATCATTTTATGGACCTTTGCTTTCAAAAAAAATTATAGGCTGGGATTATGGCTCAGTGGTACAGTGCTTGCCTAGCATGTGTGAGGCACTAGGTTTTATTCTTAGCACTACATATAAATAAAACAAAGGTGCACTGACAACTAAAAATATATTAAAAAAAAAAGAACTGTTCCCACTTACAATGTCATCAGAAACATTTAAGACTACATTACACTAATCTCTCTYCATCTAACTTTGGCTGTTAATAAAACAGGCAAAAATTGCCATACTTCACTGCTTATACCTGTTTAAATTTACCTGTCCTTGTTTTTCAAAATTTATTTAAATCTGTCTTCTTATCAATGAAGTAGACCTAACAAGACACTAAATTTTTTTTTTTTTTTAAAGAGAGAGTGAGAGAGGAGAGAGACAGAGAGAATTTTTAATATTTATTTTTTAGTTGGCGGACACAACATCTTTGTTGGTATGTGGTGCTGAGGATCGAACCCGGGCCGCACRCATGCCAGGCGAGCGCGCTACAGCTTGAGCCACATCCCCAGCCCCAAGACACTAAATTTTTTACTTATTAGTTTAATCATGTTTGAAAGTTTTTTTGAAACCATCTGAAAACACAGCAAAGTACATAATAAAGATTCACATTTACAAAATYCCAAATTAATAATTGTTAATATTCATATTTTCTCCTACTTTTAAAATTTGTACAGAAATATATTACTAACTTGTAAAATTTGTAAACAAATAAAATATTGCAGAGAAAACTATAATATCATGCTACAACTCCTTTGGAGGTAACCATTATCCACATAAGTTTGGTATGTATTCTTCAATCACATTCTTTTTTAAATTCTTCTAAAAATATTTATGTTTATTTACTAAGAAACATATTCCATTTGTTTGTAGGTTTTAAAATATTTTACAAATAATCTCTTGTGTACGTATTTACTAGATAGCATTTTTGTTTGCTTGTTGTTTTTTTTTTTTTTCCTGGTGCTAGAGATCAAATTCAGGTCTCTCACATTCTAGGCAAGGAAGCWCTCTACCACCGAGTCACAGCCCAAAGTCAGATATTACTTTTGCTATCCCTCCATGCTAATTCACACCTTCTAATAATACTGTATGAAATCATGCTGGAGGAATATACATTTCATTTTCTATTACCTATATGGTTGGATTTTAAAGTTGTTTTTATTATTTTACTATTACAAATAATGATGCAATGAACAGTCTTACATTTTTTGTTTCCTTGGGGGGAAATTTATGAACTTCTCTGGAGCAGATGCTCCCTGAGACCCCTTCAGGGTAAAACTAATTTTATAATACTAAAGATATTTTCTCTTTTCCATTCCAATGAGTACATAACAACTTTATATGATTTTAAAGACAGTAACTACATTTTCTACAACAACAACAAAAAAAATTAGTGAAAAAAATGACATTCAGGTTTTTGCAAATCTGTTTATTGTCTGGCTTGATTTTTTAACATCAAGCGTTGGTCAATTGGAAAATCTGTTCACTGCATTATGCAGATTTTCTAAAGGTTGGCATATTTCCTTAAAAATCAGATTAATTAATATCACCATTAAACTCAAAAGAAAAACAATTTAATATTGGGTAACATATAAAAATGTTTCATGGTTTTGACTTTCTTTTAAAGCTTGCATATTATCATTGGTAACATAYATTCCAAGTTGTTTTCTTTGAAGTAATCAGGCACACTTGGTTCATTTTTAAGAAAATACTGTCAAATAACTAAATCTGAATGAGCAATCTGCTGGTGAATCATGAGTAAAAATGGCATTTCAGGGGAAAAATACAGCTAAACTTGAAATTCAAACAAGTGCATAAATACTTTTCCTTGAGTTAATTACTGTACTCTAGTATCTAGCATATGTGACTAAATCTAAATCATGGTTTTGCCATTTCTGTCACACAGAACATAGAATATGAAATAGACTTGTCCTCAAAATCAAGATAAGGGCTGGGGCTGGGGCTAGGTGGCAGAGCGCCTGCCTAGCGTGCRTGAAGCACTGGGTTTGATCCTCAGCACCACATCAAAATAAACAAATAAAAGACATTCTTTCCATCTACAACTACAAAAAAAATTTTTTTAAAAATAATAGAATAAATATATTTTACTACCTAAATCAGGACATTATTAAGCATAACTTGTGCTCTATACTGAGGTATCTCTTAGCCCTTTTTATTTTATTTTAAATTTTGAAAATAGGGTCTCGCCAAACCGCCTCAGCCTCCTGAATTGCTGGGATTACAAGCTTGGGCCACTGGCCTGGTCTGCAAAACTTACTTTTCAAACTGCAAGTGTGTGGCAATGAAGAACATAACAATCACCGAACAATCTGGTGCCCTGAGTTATGCTAAAGCACCAGCAGTTCTACTCAGACTTGTTTTTGCATCATTTGTTCAAAATGTTGACACAGTGAAATGGACAAGTTCATATTCTAGTTCTCCTCCCTGGCACCCCCCAGCCCATTACTAGGGATTGAACCCAGGGCTTTGCATATGACAGGTAAGTACTATATTACTGAACTGCATATTCACAGTCCCCTAGTAGTACCATTAYGAAAACAGTTCTGAGATTCTGAACCAACCAATACATAAATTCACCCAATTTGAGCCTAGAAAAAAATCTATATTTTTATAGGGTATTCTAGGAGGAAAATGTTTGTTTCCTTTCTGTTATAGTTGGGATAGGTGTCTTTCAAAGGTCTACATGTTAAAGTTTTGGCCACCAGCTTGTGGCACTACTGAGAAGTAGTGGAACATTTAAGAGGTGGGGCCTAGGAGGAGGAAGTTAGGTCACTAGGAGCATGCCTTTGAGGGGGATATTTGAACTCCAGTTCCTTCATCTCTCTCTTTCTGTTTCTTGGTCACTGTGAAGTAATAGTTTCCTTTTCTTAAGATGAACTCCATTATCAAAGACCCAAAGGCAACAGGGCCAAACCGAAACCTCTGAAATTATGAACCCAAAAAAACCCTTTTTTCTTATTAAGGTGATTTACGTTAGGTACTTGTTATGGTAACAGAAAGCTAACATATCTCCTGAAAACAGGTCATAAGGTTGTACAAGTGAATTGTTTACTCTGAAATGGTGACTTGTATAAGTGAAATTATTTGCATAATTTAAATGGCTATTTTATATTATGTGAATGTCACCTGGAGGAAAAAAGAATAATTTGTTCTACTTTTCAGAGAGTTGTGACAAACTGCTTATAGCTATCTCACTACCAGATAAAATAATTTGTACTGCTACAACAGAAACAAACATCTTAATACATATATTCTTACACTCTCATACTTTATACTCTATACAGCAACTTTCCAGCAGCAACCACTTGGATTAAAGAATATTTTTTGGCAAATTTACTCTTTAAGCTATTAAAAAGTATTATAAACATGAAAATCAGTCATTCAAACATTAATATTTAATCTGTTTCAAAACTAAATCACTACACATAAATTAACCAAATTCCACTGCAATCTCTTCTTTCTTAGGATTTTCTGCATAAGTATATCACTGCTACATGTCTATTTATACTTTTGATGTATGAGCATTCTACAGACTATATATATTACATTACTAATTGGTTACTTTAAAATATTTCCATGAATAGTATAATACTGAACATATTATTTGTATACTGCCCTTCTATAAACACAACATTATAATTCTGGTAATGAGGATCTAATGCTAAAGTGTCCAATGATAGCTGTTAGTTAGCTACATGTACATATTGCATGTACAGGTATAGAAGTCTCTATTGGATAGTGCTGATACCTAATGCATTCATTTTCTTACAATATTAAACATTTTTTGTAGATACGTGCTTTGATTCATGTATTCTCTTACTGATGATGTTTGTTTTCCCCTGTACATTTGAAAAGCTTCTTGGATTAAAGAATATTTTAAGGATATATACCAAGGCAGAACTGCTGAATCATATATTCTACATGTCCTTAAGTAAACCTTAAGTAACCTTAAGTAACCTTTATAATAGCTACACTAGCTGGGTGTGGTGGTGCACGCCTGTAATCCCAGCAGTTTGGGAAGCTGAGACAGGAGGATTTCAAAGCCAGCCTCAGTAACAGTGAGGCGCTAAGCAGCTCAGTGAGACCCTGTCTCTAAATAAACACAAAATAGGGCTGGGGAAGTGGCTCAGTGGCCAAGAGCCCGGAATTCAAACACTGATACCTTAAAAAAAAAAAAGGTTTTACTAATTAATAATTCTACCAACTACAGAGTTGAAGTAACAAAAATGGAGACTTAAGAGGCCTCAAACTCACATTCTTCTGAACATCTGTCAAATTCTGAAGCAGCACAGACAGAAAGTTAAGGAACCAAGCCAAAAACCTCTGAGAAGAAATCCTTACAGTGTCTACTGCTGAGAAAAATAGGTTTACCTAGTTTTTGAGTGAAATCCCTGGAGGGCCACAATCCAGGGACAACAGGGCAAAGCAGAGGTAGACTGGAGCTTAACAACTCTGCAACCCTACCTTAACCCAGTGCAGTCCTTAGCCTGGGTTAAGACAAATAGCTGATAACTAACTGTAGAGCAAAAGAAAGGAGGAATCTTCTCTAGGGTGAGAGAACATCAACTGAAGTCTTTGTAATTATTTATCCATAGCATCCAGCACTCAACAAAAAAAATAAAACAGCCGACAAGGAAGATAAAATACATATAGGAAAAAAAAGGATGGAAAGGTATATTACAAYAAAGAATTTTTTTWAAAAAAATGGGAATTATAGGACTAAAATAATAAAATTAACAACTTATTTAGTAGAGTTAACAATACAGTTTGTTTAATAGCTGAAGTAGAAGACACACTGAGAATCCAATAGGTCAATAAAAATTTTTCCAAAGGCTAAGGTTGTGACTCAGTGGTAGCGCACTTGCCTGGCACATGTGAGGCACTGGGTTCAATCCTCAGCACTACATAAAAATAAATAAAGGCAATGTGTCCATCTACAACTAAAAAAAACTTTTAAAAAATTTTTTTCCAAACTGAGGCACAGTGTTTTTTGTTTTAAGAAAATGAAATCAAAACAAGAGAGAACAGAAGAGAGATGTGGTACATAGCAAAAAGGTCTAACATATGTCTAAATGGATTCCCAGAAGGAAATGATAGAAAGAGGGGGCAGAAGCAAAATACAAAGAAGTAGTTTTTTAAAAACTAATAAAATAATCCAACCAACAGATTGAGAAGTTCAGCAAACCTATATAGGATTATTACAAAGGAAACCATACCTAGACACCTTATAGTAAAAGTATTAAAAAACCAAAGACAATTTTTAAAAAATCTTAAAAAGAAGCCTACAAAAAGCAACACTTAAGACAACTGACTTCTCCACAAAAACAATGAAAAGTGATAAACACGGGAAAGTGATCTTTAAAAGTGYTGAAATAATTCTACAAAATATCCTTTAAAAATGATAAAACTAATACACTTTCAAACTAACAAAACCAGAAAAAAATGTGCCATCAATAAGCATGCAATGAAATATTATATTGAAATTAATTTGATTGTGCTTCAAAGGATGCTATTAAAGTGAAAAGAAATACTACAGAATGAGAGAACATATTTACAAATGTATTTTTCTTCTACTTTACAAACTGAAAGCTACTATATTGCAAYAGTATAGAAAGTAAGTCACCAATTTTAACTAAGACAAATCTTATTTACTTTAAAACCTTTGTTTTAGGGGCTGGGATTGTGGCTCAGCGATAGAGCACTCGCCTAGCATGGGCAGGACCCGGGTTCGATCCTCAGCACCACATAAAAATAAAGGCATTGTGTTGTGTCCATCTACACCTAATAAATATTTTTTTAAAAAATCATACCTTAAAACAAACAAACAAACCTTTGTTTTAGACTAAAAAGTCATAACTTTTTTTTTAATTAAGTTTGGAATTTTTTCAAATTCACATCATCAGTTATGTTTCCTGTGGTTAATTTTACTTTTAAAAATTATTTTAAGTAATAATCTAATATATAACTCAAATAAACAAGTTTGTATATCATCTAACACAGTAGATCTCACCTGATCAATAAGGGAAAAGAAAACTAGAATCTATTAAATACTTACCAGGTACTGTGAAACACACTTTACATATGTTACCTCATTTAATCCTCAAAACCACCATATGAAAGTATAATCCCCACTCCTACAGATGAGGAAATTAAGTCTCAGAGAGCTACTTAAACTTGACCATGATTATATAGTTGCAACTAACACTGAGTATTTACCATTGTTTCAAGGTCTACTCTAAATTTTCTGCATTAACTCATCTATCCTTCCCTAATGTCCCTATAAAGAATATTACTATTATTGCTCTCAATTTACAGATGAAGAAACTGAGACACAGAAATTAAGTAATTTGTTCAAGGTTATAAAACCTATAATTAGTAGAGCTGAAATGCTTGCCTAGGTAATCTGACTTCAGAGCATGAATTCTTTTTTTTTTGGGGGGGGTGAAGGGGCAGGTACTGGGAATTGAACCCACAGGCATTTTACCACTGAGCCACATCCCAGCTCCAGAGCCTGAATTCTTTTTTTTTTTTAATATTTATTTTTTAGTTTTAGGTGGACACAATATCTTTATTTTTAATGTGGTGTTGAGGATCGAATCCAGCACCTCGCACATGCCAGGCGAGCGCGATACTACCTGAGCCACATYCCCAGCCCCTGAATTCTTCATCATCAAACTACCTTGCTGTCTCTCCAGGATTCAAAACCAAGGCCTTTCTAATCCCACTAAGTCAAAATTTGTCAATATGTAATTAATATGTCGTGAAACTCTCTGAAGGGAAGTGATGACTCAAAAATTGATCTAAATATACTCTTACACATATCTTAATTTTTAAAATTCAAATCATTTCAGAAAATTATTCTATTCATACTATAGAAAGGCAGCAGATTTGATTGTGTTCAATTTTAATGTAAGAGAAATCTGGTAAACTACCAAGCAACCTCTATAACAGGGGCAAGAGTCAACTAAATCCCATTTAAGGTGATAATAAGAAAAAGAGATTAGGCAAACATAATTTGCCTATGATAAATTTTTTTAAAGAGACATTTTTCCTAACATACCTTCTCTTGCTGCAATCTTAAAAGCAAACCACGCTGTTTTTTCCGGAGTGGGGGCATTTTATCATCCTCTCCCTTGTCTCGTAGATGTCTGCAAATAATATTTTTCATTGAGACAAAGACTAAATTCATGTTATAATTTCAAGAATTCTTGGTTACTAACAAGTTCACAAACTTAGCATTTTCAAAAGTTGAAAACAGTTGTTATATGCAGCAGCAGTTAATATCTCAGCAAGTATTCTACTGATTATGTAATACATGTAAGCCCTAGACTAAGTCTTTTAAAGATCGGAGGACTCTGAACAATTTGCAACACTATAGAGGACTTAAGTATAGGACAACAACATGAGGATCAGTTAGACTGTAAAAGAGAAATGAAAACAAAATATTATATGGGTAGGAAGGATGTCTTGAAAGTAACACAAATCAAAGATTACTGCCATATTCCTGGATTGTAAAAACTAGGTTAATTTAATCATATCAAATTAAATGAGGAGAGGCTAGGGATATAGCTCAGTGATAGAGCATGTACTTATTAGCATGTACAAGGTCCTGGGTTTAATAACCAGAAGCACACACACACAAAAAAAAAAATTAAATGAGGAAACAAAAATATTTTAAAACATAAAGCATTTACTTTTTATGGAAGTAACTGAACAATGAAAACTATGCTACTGAAAGAACTTACTTTTTTTGATGTTCTAGCCAAGCTAATTCAGCTTTGGTTTTCTCCTTCAAAGCCTTTTCACGAAGACGCAGAAGTGAAGATTGGTGAGCTGCCCTCATTTCCTCTTCCTTCATATACTGTCGAACCATCTCCATAGTAAATTTAGAAAAGCTATCTTGTCCTCCTGAGAATGGCATGCTCAGCTCCTAAAGTAGAGAGTTTATTTCAAGTTTTTTATCTATTAAACATTTTGATATTTAATGTCATTAATAAGAGATACACATTCATAAAAATAAATTATGGGGCTSGGGCTGTAGCTTAGTGGCAAACTGCTTGACTGGCACGTGTGAGGCATTGGGTTGGATCCTCAGCACCACACAAAAATAAAACAAAGGTATAAATAAATGAATAAATAAATTATGAAGCCAAGAGTAGTGGTATTTGTCAGCAATTAGAGCCACAGCAACTTAGCAGGATCTCATCTCAAAAATAAACAAATAAATAAATAAAAAGTATTTCACATTAGCAAGGCCCTCAGCAATTTAGTGAGATGCTATCTCAAAATAAAAAATAAAAAGGGCTGAGGATATGGCTCAGTGGTTAAGCACCTTGGGTTCAATCCCTGGTACCAAACAAACACACACACACACATACACACACACACACACACACAAAAGTATTATACAAGGCTGCTAACCATGTAAGAAAACATTCTTCAAAAAGGCACATAAAAGGGATTAAAACACATTGCTATTTAATCAGTCAATAAATCTTAATAATTACTGTACAACATGTACAGTACCAGGGATACAAAATAGGGTAAGAATTTGTTCCTGTTTTCCAGAAGTGATATGATTTAGAAAGAAGAATGAATGTAAATTTTTAAATGGAGCTAAGTAGAAGAGTAAAGCAATTAAAAACCCATAGAAATAATACTGACTCATTTCCTTAGAGGCCATATCTTATTTTAATGAATAAGTTTATATTCTACTTTATAAGGAAAGGGAAGCCAGATTTTTAGAAGGAAAATAAAACATAAAACTGATTTTTAGGAAAAGAATTCTGATTGATGACAACTGAGTTCAAACATAAAATGTATCCTTGTACCTTTAAGAGAATGCATCCACAAACATTTACTCCACAGGAAAACAGAAACACACCTTGGCAGAAGACAGTGTGGTCTTATCTGGGGAAGCTTCTTCATCAGAGTCATCATGATGGCCTCTTTTCTTTTCCATGTTAAATCTGCGATGACTCTCAGAAGGTAGTAAAGATCGAAAAGATTTTTCTTCTATTTCATCTTCCGTCATGGATTCATCAAATTTCAGAGAATATTCTGTTGCAACAGAAGTTGAATCTAAAAAATTAGGAAGAAAGCAGATTTTATCATTGTAACTGCTCTCAGGAGGTATTTAAACAGCCTGTTTGCCTCTTTCTGGCACAATCCAACATAAATTCATAGAACTGATCACTAGCAACTTAATAGACTTGGAATAATAAAATTCAACTACTTACAAACGTGAAAAAAAACTCTTAAAAACCTAGAAACACTAGGAAAAAAAATTCCTTCATTAAAGAGTTCTTACAAATCAATTAGAAAACTACTAATACACCTTTAAAAAAATGAAAAAAGGTCCATGATGAGATGTTCCACAAAGGAAATGTAAACACTCAAAATGATGTTAAAAAAAAAAAAAAGTTTAATATTACTGGCAAAAATGACAAACTATCTTCTTAGAATTCCAGGCTTAGAGACGTAATATAATGCATATATACTCACCTGGATATGTGTGCACACACAGGCGCAACTGCTTTTTCTATCCATCCATCCAACAAGGTAAACAAAAATTCATACTGATGTCTCTGACTCAAATTCAGTACCAAAGAGTTCACGCTTGTCTTCCTTTTCTTATATTACCTGTAACTTCCCTTTTTAACACTGAGAAACCTGGCTCCCACCATCCAATCTTCACTTACTTATTTATTCAACACCAACACACAGTTAAAGAACTATTAATTGGGCTGGGGAAACAGCTCAGTTGGTAGAGTGCTTGCCTCACATTCACAAGGACCTGGGTTCAATCCCCAGCACCATACACACACACACACACACACACACACAACTATTAACCTATATCTCTGCAAAAAACAAGTTTACCAACTAGAATATGGGTTTTGGGTTTATGTACTATTACTTTTGGATTAGGCTTACTGTTTTTAATCATAACACCATTTCCAAAGTTACTTAGACCACCTCTTTTTTCCCAGCAGTGGTTAAATTTAGTTGTCAACCTGACCGGATTGAGATGCTAAAAAATTGGTAAAAACATTCTGTGTGTGTCTTTGAGGGTACTTCTTCCACAGAAGACTGGCTTATCTGAATGCCCTCCTTTGTTTCATATTGTCTACTTCAGTCCAAACTGGCAATGTCCCTTCAGGTAACATCCCATCTGTATTTCTGGATTCTGCCGAGATGGCTAATCAAACTCATAAGCAATCTTTTGTGGAGTGACTGCCCAGCCACACCAAAACATGCTTTCTCTCTCTGTCTCTCTCTCTCTCTTTTTTTTTTTTTTTATTTTATTTATGGATAGGCTTAGAATTTTCTAAATCTTAAGTTCTGGTTCTTTTTTGCTTAACAATTCCTTCAATTTATTGTAAGTAGCAAAGAGAAACTACGCCACACCTTAGAAATGTCTTAGTTAAATATCCCCCATCATTTTTGACTTCTACTTTCCTTAAAACACTAGTACACAATTCAGTCAAGTCATTTGCCACTTTTTAAAAAAAATTACCTTTCTTCCAGTTTCAATGCAAACAATTATGCATTCATGTGCAAAGAAAGTTACCTTTCTCATCAGGAAGAGATGGAACACTATCACTTCGTAAAGAATCATTTGCAGCAGTCTGAACCTGTTCATCAATTGAACTCTCCATATTTTCACCACAAAGTTTCTTCTCATTTTCCTTAAAAGACAGAACTGAAGGACTTTCTTGACGGCTGCTACTGCTACTACTTCTGTTTATGGATGTTAACAGAAACAAAAAAACAAATAAGGATCATAAATTCAAAGAAAACTTATCTGACCAAAGGACTGTGCCTTATAACCACATTATGCAATGAAGAAACATGTAATATAAAAACAAAAACTAAGTAGATATAAGTCTGAGAATACACTATTTTGGAAAAGATGAGAGAGGATGTCTCACTTTGAAATAATCACAACAGGCAACCATTATTCTTATATTATTGCTCCCTTTTTCCTTTACTTTCAAAGTCAAAGTTCTGGGAAAAGGGGGCTTCTACTCACTATTTCTATTTCCTTTCATTACATCACGATCTCTTACAATCTGATGCTCTCCCAATTGCTACACTGGAACTATTCTTTTTTAAACTATCTAAACTTCTAACTGGAAAGTCAAATAATTTTTTTCTCTGTAACATTAGATGTTGTTGATCTCCATCTTCTTTAAAGCTCTATTTGCTAAMGAAACTATAGAAAAAAGTCTACTTTAGGGTAATATGGATGAAAGATATTTTAAGACTGCATTATTTTTCCAAGTTTTCTGAAAGTCTGACATGTTAAAATTGTTTGATAAGAATTCTTCTTTCTTATATTCCAGGGTTCTATTCTCACTTATCTTCACACCTCCCTAAGAAGTTTTCCTGTGTTTTGCCACTTGTTTTTAATTTTTATCTTTCTTTAAAATGATGGTATTCCCTAGAATTTTATTTTGGTTCCTTTCTCTTTTATGTTACATAACATTTTCCTTGAGCAATCAAATGGCATGCTTGTAACTTCAACTATTATCACTCAGACTAAACCTCAACTCTGTATTAGCAGCGATTTCCTTCCCTCAACATTGCCTCAAGTATCCAAATGCATAGCAGACTTCTGATTTTGACTATCCTTCAGCCAACAAATGAACCCTGTGCGGTATTCTCACAAATGTTTCCCTTCTTATTTTTCTTAATTATTCACTGATTTAAAAAAGGGGTGGGTATTAGAAGCCTATCCTGATTCAGCTTTTAAGAGCCTCTCCAAATGCTATTTCTGAAATAGAAAATATCTCTGAAATGCCTGTCCTTCTCTGTCTGTTCACATTTAAGATTCATTTCAAGTATTATTTCTGTGAAGTTCTCAAGGACTCCTTCCCATTTTTCCAGGAAGGTTTCATCATTTCTATTCCTGTGTTCATATTTTTAATGTGTATTTAAATGACAATATGGCTTAATAAATGTTTCCAAAAGGGTAAATCTAATAAAGCTATAAAAAGATACAATGCAAGAATCACAGCCTTTGGGACAGATATCCCCTGTATTTCTCCTTTTCTAAAAGCAAAGCAATAAACCTTCTTTTTTCCTTTTTCTCAAAACCATGTCCTCATTGTTGGATTGGTATTGGGCACAAGGATCAAATTTTCAGCATCAATAATGGCATTAGAGTTTTTTAGGTCCTTATTTCTTAGACATATGCACTGAAGTATTAATTGGTCAAATGCTAATGACCAAGGATTTGCTTTAAAATACTCTAGTAACTAAAGAAAACATTGAAAGGGTGTGCTAAATTGCTCAGGGCCTTGCTAAGTTGCTGAGTGGGCTTTAGACTTGTGATCATCCTGCATCAGTCTCCCAAGCAGTCTCCTGCATCAGTCTCCTGCATCAGACATGGGACACCGCACCTGGCAAGGATCAACTATGAAGGGACTTTTATGGTATGCCAAATAATTTGAACTTTACCTTGAATGGTCTGAGAGGATTCAAATAAGTGAATGACTAAGTTGGCTGCAAATTTTATAAAAATGACCCTGCTCATCATGTGGCCAATGAATACAGTGGGTAAAGATGAGAGGATGAGGAGACCTATTAGTAGTCTATCGCAGTATTGACAATGACAATATCCTATCTAATAAGGAATGCTGGAAAATAACCTTTAAAACCTCATTCAAGGATAGAATCATAAATGAAAACTAGAGATATTAATACTGTGCTAACTACCAAAGAAAAACCTATTTAATATTTTTATAATGATTATAATTAGTACACATGCTAATGTTAAGAAATATGGGCCATTCTGTCTTATTTGACTTTTCTTTAGGGAAGTAAAACARTATCTTGTGATTAATTTTATCATGCATACTATGTGTTAGGATTTTATTCAATACAACTATACTGGAATTAACTGTGAAATGGTTAAAAATATCGCCAATGCTTCAGTTTAGAGATCTAAATTTTCTATTTGAAGCTATTGGGATACTATCATCCTTGTGACTTTTTGGGTAATAGTAAGTGGGAGGTGAATCAGTGGATTTWAGAAGACAAGGAGTTTTGACAAACTCATTATATTCTCAAATGTTAAGTACTTTTAATTGCCTTATTTTGTTAGAGGAACAATTTGGTAAAATATATTGAAATGTCCAGTAKATATAAAGAGTAGACCAAAGTATGAAAAAAAAAACCAGTATCTTATTGTTTAACAGACCTCAAACAGTTAATATGTACAGAGATTTTAAGAACAAGTAATTCATGAAAAGTATAATCTTAGGTGCAGTGTTTTCTGGCAGAACAAGTGAACTTMAATTACCAGACYTTTGYAGGGATTTCAGCAATACTTTTTRTATGAAAAATTCATTAACTTTGCAGATTAATTTAAYGAACTTTTGCTTGTTACATGTATTTCTATGCATGTGAAATGTGGTATTATAATGAAAGAAAGAAGCTTTCACTCTATGTGGAAATAAATCTTTAACAATAAAAAAAAAGAAAAAAGAAATATGGGGCAGGTGCAGTGGTGCACACCTGTAATCCCAGCACCTTGGGAGACTGAGGCAGAAGGATCACAAGTTCAAAGCCAGCCTCAGCAACTTAGCAAGGCTCTAAGCAATTCAGCGAGATCCTGGCTCAAAATAAAAAAAATCAAAAGAGATAGGGATATGGCTCAGTGGTAGAGCAACCTTGGGTTCAATTCCAAGAACCAAAAAAAAAAAAAAAGAAAAAGAAAAGAAATATGAATGCCAGTAAGGAAATGTGCAATAAACATAGGCTTTCAATGTCTTGGTGTGTCACTACTATGTGACTCTGGGGGAAATGCTTAACATTTCCATGGGCCTCAGTTCCCTAATCTATGAAGACAACATTAGCTGACTTGGAAAGATGCTGTGAAGATTACAGGTAAGAAAAACAACATATACAATGCTTATGCAACTAGACTCTCAAGGAGTAGTAGCTGTATTACATGGATGGACTATTTGTAAGTTACCTAATTAAAGAGGCAGCCATTGTTCCATTTATAGAAATAAGAAGTCAAGGAAAAGCAATGTTTAAGCCCTTTGTTAGAGTTTGCCAAACTGAATCAATTAAAAAAAAAAAAACTGTCTTCACCTTTGATCATGATTCTTGTATCTTGAAGACTCAGAGTAAGTATCGAATGAAGGGGAATACTTTTGATGCTTTGTGTCAAGGGTCTCTTCTTTACTCTGAGACAGTGAAAAAGATTGACTTATCCTACAAAGAAAATAAAAATGGATTCAACATCCAGTCTCCAATAAGAGAAAGATTTGGAAGACTGTTTAACAGTAAACGAGATAAAATCTTGAATGCATAGATATTATGAAGTAACTGTTACAAAATATTTGAGGGGAAAAAGGCATTCAATGATAAAAAAGGACATATAGTACATAAAGGATACCTTCTGCTTAATTAAGGGAAACAAACCCACAACAGTCCTAATATCAGTGAATGCAAATAGAGGCTAAAAATCTATAAATTGGAGAAAATCAAAGTATGATTTTAAAAAATAACACACATAAATATATGATCTTGTCATCCAGCTCATCTAAAAAAAAAACTTTGATTTTTTCATTGTTTCTAGAACAAACACAAAAGTCTTGAAATCTGTAAGATCCTATCAAAATGCATTGTCTCCTCTTTGTTCGCTTCCTCTAGTCACACTGGTCTTCTGTTCATTTCCTTAAACATGTCATGTTCTTTCTTCCCTCAGAGCTTTATAATTGCCTATTCTTTACCTTCATCTTATCACTAATTTCCCATCCGTTAGATGTTACCACAAGCTTGAGTTTCTCATGAATGCCTTTTCTAACCTCCTTATACCCCTGTCTCCTGAGATATGGAGTTCCTTTCTTTCATGACACTCATGTCCAGTATTTTAAGTATTTATTCATTCAACTGAGTATTTATATCCCTACTAGATTTTATGCCCATAACTAAATTCCTAGTGCCTTGGACAGAGATACTCACTGGAGATGAGTGTCTGATGAATGAATGAATACTAACCTATCTGTTTCAGCTCTGGTCCTCAATTGTTTCATGAAGTCTGGAAGGTGTKGCTGCTGGTGATCATACAGCGTTGGCAGAGGAGCTCCTGAAGCAGTGATGGCGTCTGAGATATGAGTTCGAGTCAATTCTGCCATCTAAATATGAACATACAACAAAAGCAAACACAGATGTAAAAGATGTCATAGAAGAACTGAGAGGGAGCAGTGTCTTGGAAAGGATAACTTGATAGAAAACAAGCAAATTCTGCTACTAATACGTGAAATATCKTGGACATGTCATTTAGCCTCTTTAAATCCCAACAGGCTCATCTTATAAAAACAAAGACGWTAACTACATAATTTCTAAGCTATAATAATCTACAAATTAGAGAGAACACCTTCAAGTCATATAATAAGCAGTAATAAATCTTTTTAAGAATCAATTCAATTACTTCCTTTATAGGGCTTTCCCTACTAACAATGTGAAGTACTTTTGCCCTACTCTTCACCGCTATTCCAATTGCTGCATATATTATTCATTTGGCATTTATTCTATTACGGTTTTGAGTTATTTCTCCTACTGATGATTTAAAAGTATTTTTGAAATCTTTTGTTATGTTTTCTACTATGTTAAAATTTTCTTGAGAAAGGAGACTCAATTTTATATTTATTTGTACAACCCTATGGTACCCAAAAATATAGTAGGTTCATGAATTTTTAATAACTGAGTCATTTTACTAATAGTCCTAACTTTTCCTTAAATAAATTATAATTGCTAAAATAAAATGTCAGGAGATAATTTATTTTATAGAGAAGGCAATGAAATTATTTCTGGCTTTACCCTTGGTACAATTTAAAAAAAAAACACATGGACTAATATTCTTCTGGATAAAAAAATGAAAAAATGAAACATCACCATATGAAGCAGACAGTGGTTCCCTGAGGCCAAGATTGAGTACTAACTGCAAAGAGGCATGTTGGAACTGATAGAAATATTCTACTATTGATTATGGTGGTATTTATAGGGAATTATATATTATGTACTTTATTTTTATTTATTTATTTTTTTTTTAGTTTTCAGCAGATACAACATCTTTGTTTGTATGTGGTGCTGAGGATCAAACTGGGGCCGCACGCATGCCAGGCGAGCGCACTTACCGCTTGAGCCACATCCCCAGCCCTATTATGTACTTTAAAAGTATGTACTGCATTCTTTTTTTTTTTTTTTTTTTAATATTTATTTTTCAGTTATCGGCGGACACAACATCTTTGTTTGTATGTGGTGCTGAGGATCGAACCCGGGCCGCACGCATGCCAGGTGAGCGCGCTACCACTTGAGCCACATCCCCAGCCCCCTGTACTGCATTCTTTTTAAGTTATACATCAATAAAGTTAATATCTTTTTAGAAAGCTAATCAGAGGGCAGAAATTTAGAATTCATCTCCATCTTTTTTCTGATTCCCTAACATTCATATGCACAACATATTCTAATAAGAATTTTAAAATTCTTTTATCAAAAGGGACCCCACTAAGAGTCACTGATTCAAATTACGCCGTTGTTAGATGTTAGGAGCTTATTATTGATAAGATCAAAGTTATTCGACTGACTAAAAACTAAAAAGGAAAATCACTCTCCAAGAGGGTCTTACCTCACAGATCTGGCGAGCTGCATCTGTGGTTAGGCGAGCAGTCTCTGTTTGCTGAGCTGCTATTTTACAAGTTGCTTCCTGAAGGACTTCCGTTACTTCCCTTTGTGATTTAACCACCTGCTGTAATGATTCTGCATGGACCTACAAATAAAAGGGGGTAAGAAAAGAAGTTAGGTTTCAGTATACCTTCTACCCAAATTTTTATTTTTAATCTTTTCAATTGTTAATGGACACAATACCTGTATTTTATGCTAAGGGCTTCACATGTGYTAGGCAGGCACTCTACCACTGAACTACAACCTTTGCCCCAAATTAAGTTTTAATCTATATCTGTTTCATAAACCAAGTGCCTTGTGAAAAACACTTGATTATATGGTGAATTTCATAATTTAAGTATTTACTTTATCATTCAGAGTTGATGTGTCTGGACAAATAATTATGACATACCTCAGTTGCCACTTTTCTAAACTGGGATTAAATCTTGCCTATTTATTTCAGAGGGTTGCTACAAATCCCATACAAAGAATTTAAACATTCTTGTTTACATCCTTTCTTTTTTATTCCTATGTAATTTTAAAAACTACAGTAATTTCTAAGATACAAATTTAGGTTTAGAAAACCAGTACCTACTGTAAAATAAATTACCTGAGCTGCTTTGTTTCGAGTTTCTTCTAATTGTCTCTGACATTCCAGAGCTTCTTGTTCAGCCTTCAGTTTCAAAAGGGCCAATTCTCTTTCATGGCGTTGCTGCTGTGCCTTCAAAATCAAGAAATGGTCAAATATTAATCCTAAGGTACTAAACTATTTCAACACAGTGACTACCATAAACACAATGCTTGCTGCTTCTTCTTTTTTTTTTGAAACAGGGTCTCACTATGTTGCCCAAGCTGGTCTTGAACTCATGTTCCCCGTCTCAACCTCAAGAAGAGCTAAGATTCTGGATACAAACCACCACGCCCAGCTCAGAAAGCTATCTTTCTAACACAAATGATTTAGAACACCCAAATAGAGCCTAGGTCTGGGTTTTAGCTTAGTGGTAGAGTGCTTGATTGGCACATGTGAGGCACTGAATTCAATCCTCAGCACCACATAAAAATAAATAAAATAAAGGTATTGTGTCCATCTAAACTAAAAATATACATATTTTTTAGATTAGAACCTAAAGGAAAGATAGTAAGGACAGTCATTAGTCATTTGTTAGACCACCCATGATATCTTAATTAATATAGAAATATACAAAAATTCCAAGGCATGAAATTAAGAACTGATGCCAACAAGCTGGTTAGAAAGCAAAAATTATAGCATCTAACTCGGGGGAAAAAAAAAAATAGGTCCTTTGAGTGAAAATAAAGACAATATCTCATATCTCACAATGTTGCCTGTTTCATTTTAATTTTGAAGGAATAGCCTCATTAAAAATAAACAAACAGAAAAAGACATCAGATTCATAAATTAAGATGTATATTCTCCACAGACTGTTATAACCATTCTAGTCAAAATCGTACCAGGCCTTTTTATTTTGGTAGAAACTTAGGTGGAAATGCAAACTACCTAGCATGGACAACACCATCKYGAAAAAGAAGACAAAGTTGGAGAAATTACATTCTGATTTCAACACCATAAATTCACAGTAATAAGATAGTAAGAACAGAAATAGATCAATAGAAAAGAGCAAAGTCCAGAAACAGATGTACATATAAGAGGCTACTTAATCATTGATTTGTACACTAATGTAATTGAAGTTTTGTTTTTTAAGAAAATGGTGCTGG